CGAGGGCGCCGGGCACCGTCGAGACAGCAAGAGCAGCAGCACTGGTTTCAGCTTCGCGCAGATCTAGGCCTCCTAGATGGGGTCGGAGTCGGAGGATCGCGCCGCATCGCCGATGCACCGGCGATGGGGCTCGATGCTGAGCCCGATTTTCGCCATCCGATGTACCGGCGATGCATCGGCGATGCATTGGCCATGCGGCGCGATCCTCCGATCACATCTCCGACCCCATCTAGGAGGCCTTCTAGCAGGGGGAGGGGGGAAGGCTTCTGAAAAGCGACCTCCTCCTAAGAAGCCTCCCCCCCACTCCCCCTGTCCCCCCTAGTGCGCGCCGCCAGTCGTCGAGTCGTGCGGTCGGGAACTTTGGCTGAGTGTCGCGCGCCGCCGGTTCTGGCCCACCATGTGCGACGCGACACGCGCCGCCTGAGGCCCCGCCCGCCCGCGCCCTGTCTCCCCGATTAGTGCTTTGCGCGGCCCGCCTAGCTCTTAACCGGAAGAGGCTCGCTCTCGACCCGCAGACCAAAAAAAGTGCGACGCGACACGCTGTCCACATCCCACTCCCCGGGCGTCAACGTCCCGAGCCTTTCCCAGCCGCTCGCCCCGCGGAGCGGCGCGACGCGCTGTCCGCTCGTGAGGCACGGCGCGTCGCCGAGGCCGCCGCGGCGGCACGCCAGGCAGAAGTTCCCGACCGTATCTCTGGGACCTTGGATCCAGGATCTCTGTAGCCGCCAGTGCACTGGGCTGAGCATCCCAGGGATGCTCGGAGGGATCCAGGGAAGGGCCGCGGGGGAGGGGCCGCGGGGGAAGTGTGCAGTCGGGCCTGTCCCTCTGCATGAGGAGTCTACAGAAATAGCAAAAATAGTAAAACAAGAGTCTGGGGACGATTTTTGGTGGTAGTATTTTTTTGACTCTTTTTCCATACTTCTTGACTGGTGCTTATTTTCCCTCCAGAGTCCGCCTGCAGGGGAACAGGCCCGACCTAAGAAGGGAAGTGGTTGGCTTGTCCCGGGCCCCTTTCCTCTCCGATGGGACGTGCCGCCCACTGGCGCCCCCCCCCCCCCCCCCCTCCGCTGCGCGCCCTGGCCCGAGCCTGGGCCCCCCTTCCTCTCCGCGGCCCGCTGCAGCCTCGCGCCCTTTCGACACGACTGCTCCTCGTCCTCCTCCTGCTCCTCCTCCTCCTCCGCCTCCTCCTCCTCCTCTTCCCTCCCGTCCCCCCTGCGTTCCCACTCCGTGTCATTCTGCCCTCTCCCTGGCATGAGGGCTCCATGCGCCGGGCTTCTGTGTCCCCATGCCCTGGCGGCTGCTCGTGAAGACTCGCAGCTGCCGCTCTGAGACTGGGGGCGCTCCAGGCTGCAGGCTCTCCAGGGGGCCCGTCCAGGGCCCACGGGGCCCACGGAGAGTGGCCCGCGGGGCCGTGCAGGGGCCGAGCGGCGCACGCGGCGTCAGAGCCCAGGGGCGCCGTCGTCACGGCAGAGGGCTGCCGCAGGGGGCGCGTGCTGTGCTTGCTCTGTGGTCTTAAGTCGGGCCTGTTCCCTCTACAGGAGGAATGTCCCCAAATAGTAACAAATAGTCCGGGGACTTTCTTGTTGTTGGATTATTTGTGATTTTTCACCCCAGATCCGCCTGTAGGAGGACACGCCCGACCTAATTGTGGTCCTGATTCTGATACTCCCGTTTCCCTTCAGGCCAGGGGGACGTGGACGCACGCAGCGCGTGTATCATCCAGCCCGAATCCAAGGCCAATCAGGGTCGGGGGCGCCAGCCCAGGAGGGATCCCGGGCTGTGCGATTCGTCTCGCCAGGGGCGGAGGGCGGGGGCCCAAAGTGGCATCTCCCTCTCCTTGCCTTTTCTCGGCGCTTACCTTTTCTGCTCTCGGAGCGGTCCTGGCAGCCCCAGCCCCACGCGGCTCCACAAGCTTGCCAGGCTGGTGTCTGGTCCGGGCGCTGATCTCGAGAGGATCCTTCGAGCGCGATGCAAAGCACGTTTGCTCACTTCAGGCGACCCCCCCCGGGAGACTCCCCCGCAGCGTTGGTGCCTGGTGCGGTGGCAGCGGGCCTCGTGCCTTGCTCGGAAGTCCAGCCGCGGACGCCGCAGTGGCGCATCCTCCCCTCGGCCACCCGAGGACGTGCTGCGGGGCGGAGGCGGCGCCGCCACGCCGTGTGCGCTCGTGCTCCGGGTCCTCACCAACAAGAAGGCGCCTCCTTGCGAGCGCGCGCCCTTCCGCCTCTCGGCGGGCCTGGCCTTCCCCGCCTCGGGGGCGACCCGGGGAGCCTCTCGGCTCCTCGGCAGGGCTGGCGGGGGGGCGGGCAAGCGGTCTTGGCAATGCGCGGGGGAGCCCTAAGGAGGGGGCGGGGAGGGGAGCAGGAGGAGGAGGGGGGGTTGAGGAGGAGGAGGAGGAGGAGGAGGAGGAGGAGGAGGAGGAGGAGGAGGAGGAGGAGGAGGAGGTGGAGGAGGAGGAGGAGGAGGAGGAGGAGGAGAGAGGAGGAGGAGGAGGAGGAGGAGGAGGAGGAGGATGAGGAGGAGTAGGAGGGGGAGGAGGAGGAGGAGGAGGAGGAGAAGGATCGGATTGGATCGGATCGGATCGGATCGGATGTCCGCGAAAGAGCTGCAACACAGCTGCTGCCAGGGGCGTGGCATGGCAATCGTGCCACGGCAGGCCTGGATCCCGCATCTGCGGGCAATCTGATTTGGAAAGTAGCTCATCTCATGACTCAGAGAGCCGACCGAAATCTCATCTATGGAAGATGAGCGAGATTGACACAAGGGCCCCTGATGCCCATCTCCAACCAAACCTGCAAACTCCTCATCCTCATCTCCATCCTCCCCAAGAGAGCGAACAATGGGCGCGGGCGCGCCTGAAAGTTGAAGTTGTGCGTGGCGGAATGCGAGCGGAGAGAGGTGATGCAAGAAAGAGGCGAAGTAAAAAGGAGAGCCGAGAGCGACAAACAGGGCGCTCGGCACTGAGGGAGCGCTCACGAGCGCAGGCAGGCCCTCGATCGGCTTGGCAAGAGACAAACGCCAACAGCCAGCCGACCACTTTTTGGGACAAACAGCGCCGGGCGACCACTCTCCCAAAAAATGGTCGCCAAGCCTTGCGCACAGTAGGGTAGGATGAGGAGGAGGAGGAGGAGGAGGAGGAGGAGGAGGAGGAGGAGGAGGAGGAGGAGGAGGAGGAGGAGGAGGTGGAGAGGAGGAGGAGGAGGAGGAGGGGGAGGAGGAGGAGGAGGTAGGAGGGAGGAGGAGGAGGAGGAGGAGGAGGATGTCAGTCGGACCCCTGCCAGCACCATATATCTCTCCCTGCCTTCACCTCCTCAGTTGGAGCACAAGAGCCTGTGCTGCACAACCGAGGTTCGGACTGACAACTGAGCACGCTGGGCCTTCGTCGGGGCACATGTGTGTGCTGCACAACCTAGACTCAAAGGTGAGCAATGGGAATCTTACGTACTTATGCGAACACACCCTCCATTACATCACCCCTTCCCGCCCAACCCGCCAAATACCGAGAAAGACGAGCTTGGAAACAAGACAGGGGCATATGAACAGAGAACGCGTGCTTATGTATGTGTCGCACTCCCTCTCCTGTCAAGACTCCGACTGGGCCTCGTCACCGAAGAGTTTGAGAGCAACTATGGGAATGCGCCTAGCCTCTACTTCCCTTGCTCTTCTTCGTCGCAATGCTTCTGCACGATTGGCCGCGATTCGGGCCAGCACTGACTGCGAGAGAACAAGGGGGAGACGCAGGGGGAACACGAGAAGGATACGTCATGCTAGCTTTCTTCTCCCGAGTCGGAGGCAGAGGCGGCGGAGCGGAACAGCAACGCAGGGGGGAGGAAGCGCGGGGCAGTCGGAGTGGCTACACAGCCAGGCGGCTGGCAGAGAGAGGGGAGAGGCGGCGACCGCCCAAGGCCGCGCCAGGGGGCCACAGGGCAGAGAGGGGAGGGGCAGGTGTCGGCGGGCGAAGCGTCCGAGGCGCCCGCGGGCAGCGGGGCGGAACAGCAACGCAGCGGGGGGGGGGCAGCGCGGGGCTGCCGCGGAAGGGGGGGCGCAGAAGGGGGCGGAAGCCAGGGGGCAAAGCAGGGCGAACCATTGGGCGGTCCAGCGTGGTGCGTCGGCAGTGTGCGAGCGACGCGCGTCCCGCGCGGGAGGTGCGTCGCGAAGGGCGGCGGCGGGGAGCGCCGAAAGGTGCAGAAGCCGGGTGGCAACGCTGGGCGGCCCAGGGGGCGGTGCAGCGCAGTGCAGCAGAGGAGCGCCGAAGTGGCGCAGGGGGCAGGGAGTGGGCGACGCGCGCCCCGCGCGGGAGGTGCGTCGCGAGGTGGCGGGGCGGGGGGCGCCGAAAGGTGCGGCGGCCAGGTGGCGACGCTGGGCGACCCGGTGGGCGGTCCAGCGTGGTGCGTCGGAGGAGCGCCGAAGTGGTGCAGGGGATGGCGAGTGAGCGACGCGCGTCCCGCGCGGGAAGGCCGCCGCGAAGGGCGGCGGCGGGGAGCGCCGAAAGGTGCAGGAGCCGGGTAGCGACGCTGGGCGGCCCAGTGGTGCGGCAGAGGAGCGCCGCGCTGGCGCAGGGGACGGGGAGTGGGCGACGCGCGCCCCGCGCGGGAGATAAGGAAGCGGCGGATGAAGATGGCATCGTGCCGGCTGGGGTCGCGGGTGCCACCGCCGCGCCGAACGCAAAACTTATGCCAGGCCGCCCCAGCTCCGCCGCCAATCTGCAGCGTCCTCCTGGCCCGGACCACGAGGGTCCCTTTCGAGCCGGGGAAGTCGAGCAGGGCGGGGGTTGGGACATCCTCGGGGCGCGCCCGCCCCTTGCCTTTTTACTTAACAGCGAAGATTGATAGGTTTCTAGTGGGGTCAAAAGAGAGCATCTTGACGCCCCAGGGGGTCCGGGCAGCATCCGGGGAGAAGCCGCGGAAATTTATTTAAGCAAACAGTTACACACTTCGTGGTCTTCGAGGTCCCAGAACTCCATTCCTGGGCCACATTCTGAATGCCCGGAGCCAACTGTAGGCCACTTCGTGGTCTTCGAGTTCCCAGAACTCCATTCCTGGGCATGATTCTGAATGCCCAGAGCCAACTGTAGGTCACTTCGTGTTCTTCGAGTTCCCAGAACTCCATTCCTGGGCATGATTTTGAATGCCTGGAGCCAACTGTAGGCAACTTCGTGTTCTTCGGAGGTACCCAGATGTCCATTCCTGGCATGATTTTGATGCCCGGAGAAGAAATTCTAAAATGTAGGCCACTTCGTGGTCTTCGAGTTCCAGACTCCATTCCCGGGCCACATTTTGAATGCCCGGAGCCAACAGTAGGCCACTTCGTGGTCTTCGAGTTCCCAGAACTCCATTCCTGGGTATGATTTTGAATGCCCGGAGCCAACTGTAGGCCACTTCGTGTTCTTCGAGTTCGCAGAACTCCATTCCCGGGCCACATTTTGAACGCTGAGGCAGGCTGATGCTGAGGCTGAGGCAGGCTGAGGCTGAGGCAGGCTGAGGCCGAGGCCGAGGCTGAAGGCAGACTGAGGCTGAGGGTGTGGTGAGGCTGCGGCCTGAGGCTGGCTGATGCTGATGCAGGGTGATGCTGAGGCTCGGCTGAGCAGGCTGAGCTGTGGCGAGGCGCTGAAGGCAGAACTGAGGCTGAGGCTGAGGCTGGCTGTAGGTGAGGCTGAGGCCAGACTGAGGCTGAGGCTGGCGGCAGGGCTGATGTGGGCCGTGTAGGCTGAAGCTTGAAGCTGATGCTAGGCTGGGCTGAGGCAGCTGAGGATGGGGCCGAGGCTTAAGGCCAGACTGAGGGTGAGGCTGAAAGCATAAGCAGGCTTGAGGCTGAAGGCTGAAGCAGGCTGAGCTGTGGCTGAGGCTGGGGAGGCGGAGGCAGGCTGATGCTGAGGCAGGCTGAGGCTGAGGCTGAGGCTGATGCAGGCTGAGGCTGAGGCAGCCTGAGGCTGACGCCGAGGCTGATGGCAGACTGAGGCTGAGGCTGAAGCAGGCTGAGGCTGAGGCTGAGGCAGGCTGAGGCTGAGGCAGGCTGAGGCTGAGGCCGAGGCTGAAGGCAGACTGAGGCTGAGGCTGAAGCTGAAGCAGGCTGAGGCTGAGGCTGAGGCAGGCTGAGGCAGGCTGCGGCTGAGGCTGAGGCTGAGGCAGGCTGATGCTGAGGCAGGCTGAGGCTGAGGCTGAGGCTGATGCAGGCTGAGGCTGAGGCAGGCTGAGGCTGAGGCCGAGGCTGAAGGCAGACTGACGCTGAGGCTGAAGCAGGCTGAGGCTGAGGCTGAGGCAGGCTGAGGCTGAGGCTGAGGCAGGCTGAGGCTGAGGCTGTGACTGCGACTGCCGTTGCCACTGCGACTGTCATCGCGAATGCGACTGCGACTGCGAGAACAGCCGAATTCTACAACTGGATTCTCATCTGAATCTTAAGGGGAATGCTTCCAGATATGCTCGTACACATCGCTGTTAGGTTGCTTTGCCGGGATAATTTCTTATATTCCGAAGGGAGCGAGTCCCATGTGGCGCGGGCGTCTAGCGCCGCGGCCAAGGTGTGCTTGGCGAGCAGCAGGAGGTTGCGCCGTGCAGGCCGAGGTGTTGCCCCCCGCGGGCTGGCGCTGAAGCTGCCCGCGGCGCCAGAACCGTCCGCGGCCGCCGTCGCGGGGGAGCAGTGGGGGACATCAGGGGCCGGCGGGGGGTTGACGTGCGGCGGGTCCGCGTTGGCCCAGGCGGTCGGCGCGAGCAGCTGTCGTGGCGGGCCGCAACGACGGAGACCGCGCAACGCCCCGACCTGCGGGCAGGGGGCGGGCGGGGGCGTCGGGAGGGGCTGCGAGTGGGGCGTCGGGTCCAGGCGTGTCGGGCTCGGCGTCGCTTTCGTCAGCTGAGTCCGCCCAGCGGCGTCCGTCTGGCCGCCTGAGGTCGCGATGCTGGAGCCCGTCTTGCTGCCCGCGGTCGCGGTGCTGGAGCCCGCCGTGCTGCGCGCGGTCGAGCTGCTGGGGTCCGTCGTGCTGCTCGCGATGCTGCCGCTGGGGTATTTCCTGTTGCTCGCGGTCTGCTGGGGGAATCCGTCGTCCTGTTCCCGATGGTGCTGCTGGCGCCCGTCTTGCAGCTCACGGCTGCGCTGCTGGGTTCTGCTATCCGGCCGCGGCGACGGCAGCGCCAGGTGCGATCGTCGCGACAGCGGGGGGGGGGAAATACCCCCTGGCTTCCAGGGCGGACTGGGGGGGCCACCTCGAGACGGGAGGGCTGTCCAGGTACGGCGTCACCCTGAGCGTTCTGGTTCCTGTCGACC